TGAAATACAGTTTATTTTAAATATGCAAAACATTTAATATTTAAACAATACATTGAGAGTAATGAAGTTATATATATTTGTGACATTAGCGAATATAAAATATTGTCTTCAGTTTTAATATATTTAATCGTGAAAGGTATTACTAACTTTTCATATATTTTCTAATAAATATATTTAACATGCGTGCAAATGATCTATATTAAAATAAAACATTGTTTTTTTAACATTGTCATGTACTCATATTATATTAAAGGAGGCAAAAATTTAGCTTTTCATTTCGGGCCAGCGTTAAATAAGGCTTCGGGACCACTGTTGCCGTTCGAACAATTTTTCCGCCCAAAATGTCCCCCAAAAATGTCCAAAATCAAATAGTCAATATTTTAAATAGTATGCCCAGACGGTATATGGGAAATTACAAAAATCTTTTAAATTCCTTGAAACTAATTCCTAATTCCTTGAACATATTGCATATAATTTAAATTTATTTCTATAAAATGAAATGTTCTTGTCAAAATCTTAAAATATTGGTAATAAATAATAAGTTGCGTAGAAGCTGTGATGGTGGTAATGTAAAAAAATGGGTGAAAATGTGCTGAAGCCAACACGTTTTTTGTGTTCATTCCTGATTTGTGGCTAAACTACTCAACGCACGCACATGTGATCAGTGACTTAGTTGAAGAATACCCCATGGGCAATAGGATTCTAATGAATGGTTTTTCGATATAATCACTGCATCCACCCAAAATGGATGCTGACATTTTTAAGCCGGATTTTTGGTGTTTTTTGAATTTTTCTTATAATTAGGACGCACATCTAGATAATGGACTAAAATAATTATAGGATTGTAGAACTCGTGATTTTGCTTCGTTTAGTGTACCGTGAATGTGTTCACCGTAGTTTCTTTGCAATTGGATTCGAAAGACGAAAATTTGGTACGTAAATTATTTAAAAAACATATTTTTTTAACCTAAAGTTAAGAAAGTCCATTCAAATTCCGTGGAACCCCGTGTGATTTTAGTTTTTTTACGTGCCGGATCCAATGAGCCCATCCATGTTCAATTCCGCCCAATAAAACGGCGGATATAGGTACCTTGAATTGAGGAAAAACTGCAAAAACTTATTTTGACTAATTCACGTATATAATCGCATTTTTCTTCGAATTGATTTCACATACATTCATTCTTGTGTTATCATATTCGCGAATCTGTGTGAAAATAGGTCAAAAATACATCGATACGCGAATAATATGCGTATTTTATCCAAAATCGATCCGCGGTTCTTAACCGATCCTTTTTTAAAAAGGTGTCCTTTTTTGTATTTTCATAGGAGATTACTGAAATCGGATGCGCATAAAAATCGTATGCACGTTGCGCCATTTTTAGTCATTTTTAGGGTTTTTGCATAGTAAAGTGCATCGAGCGGCACACTTTGGCCGATTAATGAAACCTCGAAAACTGTATAATTATTGGAAGAGATTTATTCGGTTTATACGAAACCGCATTCGCGTCAACTGATTTCAACTAATACGCGAAATGTATGTTTTTTAATGTTGATAATTGTCATATACTGAGACTGCAATATATTTGGTCATTTTTAAAGTCAAAACTCTTAGCAGAGGAATCTACCGATATTTAACAATCATCTAAAAGAATTTGTAGAAGAAATCGTCAAGGTGTTGTAGAAGATCTAGACTAAACCGTATTATCTTAACCATACTAAAAAATCAAAAATTAAAAAAAAAAAAACTTCAGTAGTGTTGGCGGTTTATTTGGGATACCATTTGTATTTTGTTTTTGCAAAATAGTCAGGCTGAATCCCAGTTTGTTGTTTTTATAAAAAAAAAAAAAAAAAAAAAAACAACTATTTATTAGTGGGGAATGTATGGCATTGTTTGCCGAGGGGTAAGGCAGGGAAGACTATAGTTTCGGATCACGCCACTGATCCTCATCAGTTCCCTTAGTTTTTTGTTGGGATATTCTCCCCAGAAGCTATTGCTTCTATACAAAAAAACCTTTCATACCCAAATGTCTCTTGTAACAAAGCGAAGTACTTAGCTGACCAACGACATAAACTGCATGAGAATTTCGCTGGAGCCTCACTTCGAGGTTAACAAGGCATTTACAAACAATACCACACCTTTCCCACTGTTGTGTGTTGTCACATCGCGACAAATGCACACAACGACTTTGTTGGTGTTGCTAGTGTACAGCAACAAACCAAACAGTTTAACCGTGCCTGCGTCTACAACTTCAGTAGTGTTGGCGGTTTATTTGGGATACCATTTGTATTTTGTTTTTGCAAAATAGTCAGGCTGAATCCCAGTTTGTTGTTTTTATAAAAAAAAAAAAAAAAAACAACTATTTATTAGTGGGGAATGTATGGCATTGTTTGCCGAGGGGTAAGGCAGGGAAGACTATAGTTTCGGATCACGCCACTGATCCTCATCAGTTCCCTTAGTTTTTTGTTGGGATATTCTCCCCAGAAGCTATTGCTTCTATACAAAAAAACCTTTCATACCCAAATGTCTCTTGTAACAAAGCGAAGTACTTAGCTGACCAACGACATAAACTGCATGAGAATTTCGCTGGAGCCTCACTTCGAGGTTAACAAGGCATTTACAAACAATACCACACCTTTCCCACTGTTGTGTGTTGTCACATCGCGACAAATGCACACAACGACTTTGTTGGTGTTGCTAGTGTACAGCAACAAACCAAACAGTTTAACCGTGCCTGCGTCTACAACTTCAGTAGTGTTGGCGGTTTATTTGGGATACCATTTGTATTTTGTTTTTGCAAAATAGTCAGGCTGAATCCCAGTTTGTTGTTTTTATAAAAAAAAAAATAAGTACTTCGCTTTGTTACAAGAGACATTTGGGTATGAAAGGTTTTTTTGTATAGAAGCAATAGCTTCTGGGGAGAATATCCCAACAAAAAACTAAGGGAACTGATGAGGATCAGTGGCGTGATCCGAAACTATAGTCTTCCCTGCCTTACCCCTCGGCAAACAATGCCATACATTCCCCACTAATAAATAGTTGTTTTTTTTTTTATAAAAACAACAAACTGGGATTCAGCCTGACTATTTTGCAAAAACAAAATACAAATGGTATCCCAAATAAACCGCCAACACTACTGAAGTTGTAGACGCAGGCACGGTTAAACTGTTTGGTTTGTTGCTGTACACTAGCAACACCAACAAAGTCGTTGTGTGCATTTGTCGCGATGTGACAACACACAACAGTGGGAAAGGTGTGGTATTGTTTGTAAATGCCTTGTTAACCTCGAAGTGAGGCTCCAGCGAAATTCTCATGCAGTTTATGTCGTTGGTCAGCTAAGTACTTCGCTTTGTTACAAGAGACATTTGGGTATGAAAGGTTTTTTTGTATAGAAGCAATAGCTTCTGGGGAGAATATCCCAACAAAAAACTAAGGGAACTGATGAGGATCAGTGGCGTGATCCGAAACTATAGTCTTCCCTGCCTTACCCCTCGGCAAACAATGCCATACATTCCCCACTAATAAATAGTTGTTTTTTATAAAAACAACAAACTGGGATTCAGCCTGATTATTTTGCAAAAACAAAATACAAATGGTATCCCAAATAAACCGCCAACACTACTGAAGTTGTAGACGCAGGCACGGTTAAACTGTTTGGTTTGTTGCTGTACACTAGCAACACCAACAAAGTCGTTGTGTGCATTTGTCGCGATGTGACAACACACAACAGTGGGAAAGGTGTGGTATTGTTTGTAAATGCCTTGTTAACCTCGAAGTGAGGCTCCAGCGAAATTCTCATGCAGTTTATGTCGTTGGTCAGCTAAGTACTTCGCTTTGTTACAAGAGACATTTGGGTATGAAAGGTTTTTTTGTATAGAAGCAATAGCTTCTGGGGAGAATATCCCAACAAAAAACTAAGGGAACTGATGAGGATCAGTGGCGTGATCCGAAACTATAGTCTTCCCTGCCTTACCCCTCGGCAAACAATGCCATACATTCCCCACTAATAAATAGTTTTTTTTTTTTTTTTTTTTTTTTTATAAAAACAACAAACTGGGATTCAGCCTGACTATTTTGCAAAAACAAAATACAAATGGTATCCCAAATAAACCGCCAACACTACTGAAGTTGTAGACGCAGGCACGGTTAAACTGTTTGGTTTGTTGCTGTACACTAGCAACACCAACAAAGTCGTTGTGTGCATTTGTCGCGATGTGACAACACACAACAGTGGGAAAGGTGTGGTATTGTTTGTAAATGCCTTGTTAACCTCGAAGTGAGGCTCCAGCGAAATTCTCATGCAGTTTATGTCGTTGGTCAGCTAAGTACTTCGCTTTGTTACAAGAGACATTTGGGTATGAAAGGTTTTTTGTATAGAAGCAATAGCTTCTGGGGAGAATATCCCAACAAAAAACTAAGGGAACTGATGAGGATCAGTGGCGTGATCCGAAACTATAGTCTTCCCTGCCTTACCCCTCGGCAAACAATGCCATACATTCCCCACTAATAAATAGTTGTTTTTTTTTATAAAAACAACAAACTGGGATTCAGCCTGACTATTTTGCAAAAACAAAATACAAATGGTATCCCAAATAAACCGCCAACACTACTGAAGTTGTAGACGCAGGCACGGTTAAACTGTTTGGTTTGTTGCTGTACACTAGCAACACCAACAAAGTCGTTGTGTGCATTTGTCGCGATGTGACAACACACAACAGTGGGAAAGGTGTGGTATTGTTTGTAAATGCCTTGTTAACCTCGAAGTGAGGCTCCAGCGAAATTCTCATGCAGTTTATGTCGTTGGTCAGCTAAGTACTTCGCTTTGTTACAAGAGACATTTGGGTATGAAAGGTTTTTTTGTATAGAAGCAATAGCTTCTGGGGAGAATATCCCAACAAAAAACTAAGGGAACTGATGAGGATCAGTGGCGTGATCCGAAACTATAGTCTTCCCTGCCTTACCCCTCGGCAAACAATGCCATACATTCCCCACTAATAAATAGTTGTTTTTTTTTTTTTTTTTTTTTTTTTTTGTTTTTTTTTTTTTTTTTTTTTTTTTTTTTTTTTTTTTTTTTAAAAACAACAAACTGGGATTCAGCCTGACTATTTTGCAAAAACAAAAAAAAAAAACATTTTGTGGCAATTCAAAAATTAATTAATTTTATTTTTAGATATTTTCATGCTTTGATTTGTTTTTTCGCTACTATTAAACCGTATTTCAATGTGATTTGACTAGTATGCAAAGAAAGCAAATGCGTTTAACCATTTGTCAAGAAATTTGCGAATTACAACAAATAGGAATTAATTTAATTTATATTTTTTGTATCTTTTGTGCGCAGCATCCGAATTTGTGAACGCGAACAGATTTTGAATCAGCATATTTTCCTTAACCAATGTACCAAAAATCATGAATGTGCTCGCAAAAAAATTTTAAAAACATTTTTTTATGGAATTTTAAAGGAATTTTGTAATTTCTCATATGTATATTCTATGCGATCTCCGACGAATATTTCGAAAAAAAAAACAAATTTATTAGAAACTCTACTTTTTAGTTTACACGTTTTTGTTGATAAGCAAAGCTCCAGCATTTCAAAAATACCAATATTTTACAATGTTTCGATAACATCATAATTCGCAGTGTCCTTGACCTTGTTCACCGAATAGAAATAATACAAATAACCACATTGCTTCAAAATATTCAGTGAAAAATAAAATTGGAAACATTTGAAATTCTGCTTTGTGCGTAAATACGATACTTTATATCTCACATGCAGCTATATTCTTTGTTTTTTTTATTATTAAATATAAATCATACAAATTGCTATCATAAAGACATATACTATGTACGAATGTCTACAATTGGTCTGTCTATTCGTTTTAAGGAACATTCGTTTTTTCTTCCCAAATATTGCGGTTAATAAAAATGGTTCAACGTTCGTTTAAAATGTCATAAATTGCCTCTTTGGTAGGTTTGAATGAAGGAATGAACCCTTCTCAAGGCTATACACCGCCATAGTTTCATTTGCATTTGTATGTGGAACTTTACAAATGCCCATGAAGCCGCTACTAAGTGGTCTTATGTTTAAGTGACTGCGTGTGTGTGTGTGTACGTGCGTGCATTTTAACCACATTTTACTTTAGGAATTTTATATGCGTTAAACAAAAAACACACTACAACAACACAGATATTTATGTATGTAAATTTACATTTTTTGTCTGAGTTCATGGTCGCCGCATCCTTTTAAATGCCCTCCTCTATGCTAATAGATGTTTAAATATACGGCTTCTGCGTATGTTGACCCTTAATTGCATGCATCCCTCCTCTCTGTCCTTAACATTATGATGAGTGACACTTTATATTAGAAATTAGCATTTCCAGCGCGGTAGACGAATTAACTAAACATTTTATTCAAGTACGTACACAGAAATGTTGATATGAATTGAGGCATCTCTTCCACAAGACATGAATAAGACAATGACATCGGTACACTGTTCGCAGTAATTATAGCCCAAATGTAAGTCACTGCAAATACCCTAATTGAATGTTGGAAAGTTTGACATTTGGCGGTCATCACAAAACGGGTTGTTGACATTTAAATTTATTGTAGAGTTTGTTAGTCTTCTGTTAATTCTGGCTTGTAAATGTCTTAATTTCAGACGGGAGCTAATCAGATCCATGTTAACAAAACTGTACATACACATGTTATTTGATTTTAATGTTGTCTGTATTGTGCCTCAAATCTCACAAAATATGAATTTATTGTTTGCTAGATATAGCGTGTTCCATTTCGAGTTCTCATATTTTTAAAAGAAACACACACACACAATTTTAAATTTAATAAATACTGTCTATTATCATTTAAAATAACACTTTTGGGCCTTTATTTTTAAAATATTATTTCTATAAAATTAGGCCTGCAATTGGCCTCAGTGCTCACCAAAATTTTGAAGGTTTTACAAAGCTAAACATTTGTACGATATTTATTCCGACGAAGATTGCCTTCTGCTATTTAAACATGAACATCTACTGAGTATATAGCTGACCTGTTACGATCCCTACATCTGGTTTGATGTCCCTTTTGATTTGTAACAGCAGCGAAGTAGCTCTTCGTCGTGAACTCAGGCTTTGAAATCCTGCATACAGATTCCTCAGATAATTTGCTGCTTCCGAAGTAGCTCTTGCGGATTGCGTCAATAGGAGGTCATACAGATACCTTAATCAGTGATCGGATGACTGCGACCCCCCATCGAGCAATCTCATCAGCTATTTCTTTCCCATTTATTTCCTGTATATATTGACAAAATGGCAAAGATAAGAAACCAATTTTGACCAAAGTGAGATGATCGCCATATTCCCGTTTCTCTGAGTCTCAGAGCACTTTTCGTCGCCTTGAATTTGGCAAGGAGATCCAGTGGTTGGAAATTTAGAACTATCCTGCTATCAGGACCGATCGTTGTGTACAGCTTAGTTTGGCCAAGAGACTTCGTTTGTCAGTTCCATGCCACCACACAAGACATCCATAAATTAGTATAGGGAGTACCAGCGCAACGTACAGCCAGTGCACGATTTCAGGCGTAAGTCCCCAGCTCTTTTCTATGGATTTCTTGCATGAGTAGAGTGCAATAGACCTTTCTTAGTACGCTCCTAAACATTCCTTTTCCACGGGATTTTCCGTTTTCTAGTGACAAGTACCATTTATGTCTTCGTGTAGTTCCCCCAGACCATTTAATTGGCCTAAATTTGGCAGAGTTATTAAGGCATTATGTATTATTATATGAAAAATAGTCGCACCTCATCAACATAGGCTACAACCTTTATTTCAAAATGGCTCTCGTTCAGCAAGATCTTCTTGTTCAATGAGTTCGATGGTAAACATAATGATACAGCGCCAAGGTTGGATAGTTGGACACTAGTAGTGTAACTATCCAACCAACGTACAGTACCGTCCACAAATATTTTTAGCGTTTCTATTCCGGAGAACAACGATAACAATAACTAACACTTTAAATCATCGTATATAGCTTGTCGGACAACTAAAAATCCACTGGATGTTTTTTTATCCGAACGCCACTTTTTTCATTGACTAAAATAATAGACGTGTTCCAATAAACTGAAGTTAGGTCGTGTCGGTTCTATCTAGATAAATTGACAATTATCTGCCTATTATTGGTAGGTCTAACTTTTCTTTTTAGGTTATTTTTGCATTAACCCCAAAGAGCTCTTCATTTTATAACACCAAGAAAACAAACCAGCAGAATTATTGTTCAAAATAAAGAAATCTGAAATCTAATTATTTTCCCGAGAGAACCTTTTTAATGACAAGAAAAACTCAAAAATTCTTTGTTCACAACCAGACAATGCTAAAATGGAATTTATGTTTAAAACCACTTGACGCAAACACACGCACCACAACAGCAACAACTTATCGCACTTTGTTAACTATCTTCCCTAATATTTGAACAAATATCTAACAGGCCGAGTTCATTGCATTCCAAGCGCAAAAATACTTGCGTTTCCTGTTCGGCACAAAGTTGTAGTCGAAACTATCTTAAATTCGAAATAGCGATATGTGGCGTGGTAATGGGGACATGGTAGGGTTTACAAAACTGGTTGAATGGACAGCCAGCCAGACGGACAGAAGGGAGGGTGAGCTGAATTAGAAATGCAGCAAAACAGAAGTTGTTCTGTCTACATTTGGAATAGTTTTGAATAATGGCTTCTTTCCGTTGCCGTTTGTCGGTGTTCAGCTCTTAACGACAAAACAAGATGGGGTTTTGTTGCTTTCGGGCTTTGTCTGTACTGTAATGCAGTAGTCATTTGTATTAGTGTTGCGTGATGATGTAGATGTGAACATGAACAACTCAGACAGGCTGGGTTGCATTTATTAAACAGCGGAGTTCTTAAAAATAGCGGTGTTTACAACTTTGTTGGCTTAAAGTCGAACACGGTTATAACGAACTCTATGGGACCGGACATTTTAGTCCGTTATAGACAAGTAGGAAGATTTGTCAAACCTATATATGTAAAAAATAATGAGGGTAAATAGTTTTGGACTTCATTGCGTTTCTATACATTTTATATGTAAAATAGTTCATTATACATTTGTAATAAACTAGTCAAAAATATCACTGTACATATAGAATATGAATGTATTTTCTTAGTCCGTTATCAACCTTGAAATATGAGTCAAAAATCACTGTGTGGGTCACAAAAACTAGTTCGCTATAAAAAAGTACGTTATATCGCAGTGATTTGTATGAAATACAGGTACAGCTTTTGGTATTTGAGAAAGCAGTTCGCTATTCGCATATTTAATTAACCGACTGCATAAACTGATAAGTTTTTCATTTAGGTACCACCAATAATCATCGACATTAGCATTACGGTTATGATTGTTTCTCTCAAAAAATGTTTTCAGTAGCAGGATTGGCTGAATTTTTTTTAATCGCTAAAATCTGTTACATTTCCTTTTTATACCCTTCACCACATTGTGGTACAGGGTATTATGTCTTTGTGCATATGTTTGTAACAGGCAAAAATAATCGAGATAGACCCATGAGAATATGCATAGAATCACTTTTTAAGTCGATTTATGAATGTCCATCCGTCCGGCATAGTGTACTGAATTAAGTCTAGAATGATGTTTGCCAAGATTCGTGAAAATCGGTTCAGATTTAGATATAGCTCCCATATATATCTTCGTCCGATTTAAGGTTAATTGTGTACCAAAGTCCCTATATATCTTTCGATTTGCACGAAATTTGGCACAGCGTACTATATTAAGTGTAGAATGATGTGTGCAAAGTTTCGTGAAAATCGCTTCAGATTTAGATATAGCTCCCATATATAGCTTCTCCCGATTTTAGGTAAATAGTCCACTAAAGTCCCTGTAAATCTTTTGATGTGCACAAAATTTGGCACAGAGTTATGAATAAGATCGAGAATGATGTCCGCCAAGTTTCATGAAAATCGGTTCAGATTTATATATAGCTCCCATATATATTTTCGTCCGATTTAAGGTAAATGGTGCACCAAAGTCCCTAAATATCTTTCGCTTTGCACGATATTTGGTATAGCGTACTGAGT